GTTTCCCATGAAACAGTACTTACAAATCTGTTAAAGGCATGCTCAAATGATCCAGTACGGCCCGTTTAACAAACCTACACCCTGTTGTTCACAATGCGTGTGGTGGACACCGTGCATAACTTGAAGCATGTCTGGGCATTGGTAATTAAAAAGGATCGGCTTTAATAGTTCTTTCCCTCCAAACAAAGATGTTTACCATATAAAGCAGGATCCAGTACCAAGCCGAATGGAAGGGCAATTCCTACTTAACGGTCATGCGCAGAAGCTTCGGTGCATAATCCGCAACCTCCCTTCACGATTTGTATCGTAGGGTCGACCTTCGACTTTAATCGATAACCTACCTTGTAGATTGGTATCCTACCTTCAGGTGCGCTTCTCAGATGAGTTACCGATTGGTAACCTTACCATCGACTGACCTGGCAATGTTGTAACCGACCTCGCTGTTTTCGCGCTACCCCATTATGCGCTTCTTAGATGAAGGGAGGGTCGGCTATCAAGCAGTACCAATACTATCGACTTGTGTTTCCGGATGATCACGAGTTCGATGCCAAGACTATTTTTGCCAGATTCTGGAGAGGACAATTGGCTTCAGCTTTTGATTGGAACTGTGAAGATTCACCATCAACTTGCAAAGGTGAAGGACCGAGAAGACAATTACGCAGTCTTTTTGGTTGTATGCGATCATCTCACCAGTCGCAAAAAGGGAAAGACGGAGGAGAAGGCCACCATGAGTGATGCCAGCAAGATTCTTGCTAGCCTTGGCTACACTGTTCCAGGTCCGTAGAAAGCAGGCTGCAAACTTGCCATTTGCTTTAAGTGTAGTGATCTAATGAAAAATGTTTTGTTAGTCATTTTGTTGCCTCAGTAGCTGTGCCATCGCCATATCCTCCAATCGTAGCACCAGCACCATCTCCTCCAGTGCTGCCCTCTCCAGCACCAGCTCCTCCGATTGCTCCGGTGCCAGTTCCGGCACCAGCTCCAACAGGAAAGAAGAGGCGAGCTGGAAAAGACAAGGCAGTTACCACCTCATCGCTTGCCCGCGCGGCAGCAGGCAGCAAGGGGGGAGGAGCACTGCAAGAACTGATTGATGTCGCTACTGACCTGAAAGCATTTATGAGTGCTGACTCGACAAACAAACCAAAGCGAACAGCTGACGATTTGTCTTTGAACGATGATGCTCGAGCTGATCCCGCCGATCAATACGGCGATACACACAGCGATATGGAGGCCGAGGCCGAGATGGATGACGAAGAAGAAGAACAATATTTTGATTACGACCGAGAGTCGGATGACGATATCTAACAAAATAGCTAGATGCTAAATTACTCAGAGCTCTAGCTATCTTGCATTCCATCCACCAATACATGGTAGATTGGGCTGCCCAAATCCATCTTGTAGCAGCAAACAACAGTGACAGCCTCAAAGCAGCTTGTGAAACGGTGGATTGGGTGCATGAATCGGCTGCTGAGAACCTTGAATTCTTTTGTCATGCCATTCAGCTTCTCGTGCCGTTTGAGAGTACGGTGCTTGAATTTTTTTACGATTGGCTCATCACAATTGTTGGGTGTGCTCATGACATTGAAATCTTCCTCTGCATGATAGCCACTGTCCCCAATTGCTTTCTGCTTGCGTTGCCGAAGCTGATCTCTGAGGCCCCGTTCGCGAAAGGTTGACAAGTCTGGCTCACCAGCCCGAAATGGTCCATTCATCCAAAGCAACCGACTATCTTTCACAGAAATGCCAAATTCATAGTTCATTCCAGCATTGTTGTATTTGTGGGAATAATACTCAGAAACTTGAAAGAACTCTGGGTGGCTCGGCTCATGTATCCAGCAATGGGTTCCATCAACAGTAATCGCCCAAATGTCATCAGCAGCATAATGCAATGGCCAGACAATTTTTTCGTGCTTCAATTGTTGGATTCTCTCAACGTAAAACCAAGTCCAGTCTCTGCACGTGTCGCGATGAAATCCCGTCGCTGCAGCGCGCTCATGCTCTGTTGGATATTGTCGGAGAAAGTGCATGGACATGAGAAAATAATCCAGCCGAATTGATCCAGAATCTACGCGGCATTCTTCATTCTCAGATCGTTGGAGATCTTCAAAGATGGCGCACAGCACGGTTGGAGATGCTCCATATCGCGACAAGAACCTTTCGATGCTGGTTGATTCCTTGCAACGGTCGACAGTCTAAATGGAATAATCGGCAAACAGCAACCCCCTCTCTAGCATCTCGCTAGGAGTGAGAACCACAAGCTGCCCTATGTCGTTCTCATCATCGTAGTTGTCTTCGATGCTGTCGGCCATGGTATCCTTTTGATTGTTGCTGTTGAGTGGCTGTCATTGGTTTCTGGCTTGTCGTTGGTTTCGTGATCTTGTCTTAAATCTACCAGTCTTGTCACCCAATCTTGTCTAGTGAGAATTATAGGACAAGATGTCGTGTCCTAATCGAGAATTAGGACAAAACGAGATTTCCAATCTTGTCTTAATTCCAAACCATCTTGTCTAGACACGACTGCCCATTCCACAACATTCCTGTGGCTAGCTAATAGGGGGATCTGCTTCTACACTGAAACCTTTCTGCCGAGGTTACACAGCTCCGCTGGCTTATTTAGAAGATTGCGCTGGGACTGCTCTTGACAGTTTCCACAACATGTACATGTAGACATCAACGTAAAAGCTTCCGTTGTATGCATACGCCTGTAGAATGCCTCGGTACCCGTCAGGCCAAAAAACTCAATGTCTATAATCAAACGGATTCAGACAAGATGCATCAATCCTTGAATCCGTTGCTCCTTTGCTTGCTTTCGCTAACAACAATCTTGCTCATAGCTAGCAGTAGCAAAAGCGGTAGTAGTGAAGTTGTCTCGAACAATTTGAAACTTTTCCACCTCTTCCATAGCGACCATGACCTGGTTGCGAGCCTGTGAACAACAACGATGGCTGCCAGGGCCAGGTTCTCGGAGAGCTCTGCATTTGTTGATTTCCCTCTGTGGAACTCTGGTGTTGTTACAACTGTTGAACATGCCCTCCTTATCGCAACAATACTGGACCAGAAGCAATAATGACAACATGAAGGACTTGGAGTCGCGATTCCACACACAACGACTGAAAGTACTTCAAAATGTAGAGGAATGCGATCTTTTGGACTGGCGACCCTATCATGACTTTCACAACTATCTGGACCATTTTGAGATGTATGTACTGAACAAGACAGCAGATCCTTCACCACCACTGCATCAACTGACCAACTACAGCTACTTTCATCTCCCCTACGAGGATGAGGGTGAGAGTGAGAGTCTGTGTTGGGCAGCCAACTTGTTTTACAAACACTATCAGCAGCCAAATGCAACGGCATTGCCGCATGTGCTGGTTGCCTATCTCAGTCGAGATTGGGGTGCCTTTTCTGTCAAGTGGACGCGTGGGGTCTATCTTCATCAAGACTACACCAAGAGACTTGCCCTCAAACAAAAGGAATGCTATGATCAAAATGGCAACAATATACTCCAACTATACTTGAACCATCCCAATACCAAGGCAGTCATCACAACCCAAGCACATGATGTTTCATATGAAAAGGGGCATTCCATTCCCTTGGGATTGGAAAAAACTGTACATGCACACTTGATTTCCAGGGTACTCCAAGGACAACAGCCCCGCCAACCGAGGTCAGTCCTGCTGTACATTAACTACCGGGAATGGCCATTTCGCGTACACCAACTTCAGCCTCTGCACAAACAACTGCAAGTACCCAACAGCTATCAGGGACTATTGGACGTTGATGGGATCCAACCAGTGGCCATGCGTCCGCTGTCTCGTGTCCGTCAGATTCGTAGAGGCGTTCTCCTATTTTGGCGCCACAAGATACGAAGGCTTCCCCTGAACTCAGATATGCAAATTTTGCAGGAGGGAATACAGTATTTTCACAACATTAGTCATGCCAAGTTTATGCTTTCCCCTGTAGGGTGGGGGTTGGATTGCTACCGTAACTATGAAATGTTGTACATGGGCACCATTCCCGTGATCGAGACCCGGAATCGCACTCGTGACAGGATGTTTCACATATTTGATGATCTTCCAGTGGCATTCATTGATCACTTTGACAACCTGACAAACGAATGGCTGGAGGCGGAATACAGGAGGATATTGCAGGGCTCCTATCATTGGGAAAAACTGACCAAACAGTACTGGTTGAGTTTTACCAAGGCATTTGTGGAATGAATCGAATCGAACGGCTTGCATGAGAACGGTAGTTGTGGTAACGTCATACTTTTTTTTCAGAATACGTAGAAAGCACTGATTATTTGTTTCATCTACCACCTGATTTCCAAAGCTTTCTTCATGTAGCTAGCTTGCTTGCTGTAGTACCGATACCGGACGTACCGTTCTTGTCGCCGCTATGGGACCGTGTGGTCGTGGAGCAATGTAGGGATCGAAGTCACTTGTCACTCACACAATGCTCCTGACATAGACCACGTTTAGAGTAGGTAGATTATCTATGGAAGCCAGTTGGGGCCAGGCTTCAGCAAAGATGAGTCAGAACTCAGGATGAAACCAAATCTACGGACCAGGGCCACAGCACGCACTACATGAGCAAGGGTTCGACTGGCTGCCACGTTTCTAGTTGCTTGGAAGAAGCAAAGCAAGTTGCATTCAAAGGACACATACATTATCATTATTGAACGAAGCAACACACGAAAGATGCTCTGCATGCGCAACTGGAATAGCCACCAGTGCATGCATGCATGCATCTATGTATTGGAACAGTACAGTCGTATGCCAAACCTTTCTCGGTTCCAGCCCATTTCAACACTCCAAAGCATGGTGTATGGTGTGGTACCAGTATGGTACCTGGTACAAAGTTGAGAGCAAGACAGCGTTTCTTTAGGCCGGTAGGCGCGGTAATAACACTGTTACAGAAGAGTTGATAATTGTTCCCCTGTTTACCGCAGCTACCCCTCCAAAACTGTCGTCCAAAAAGAAAGATTTGCAAGGAGCAAGTGTGCACCGAAGCAGTGGCAGCAGCTCTCCGGCCCATTTCCCATTATTTGGACAAGACGACAATAAGACGACCATCATCCACCATGGGCCGCAAGAGCAAACAAGCCGGTAGCGGGCACATGCCATTGACGCACTATGAGCGTACTAAAAAGTTCAAATCGTCTAGTTTTGGTACAACGACGACCCGTCTTTCGGGAGATTCTCAGGTTGCCTTTGGCCATTGCAGTCTCGGGTTGACCGTGATTATGGAGGATGGCAAGCAGAAGAAGAAGACTGACGACAATGATGAAACGCTGGTGACGACGATTGCCATGGTGACTCCGTCGGGTCACTTGTATGCCAAAGAAGCCATTTTCGAGTACTTGTTGACCAAGACGCAAGAATACCAAGACCAATTGGCACTCTTTGAACAGCAACAAGACGACGACACCAAAAAGGCCGACACGACCGAAGCTACAAAACGCAAGCGACAAGAAGCCTTTGATGCGTCGCACAATCTACAAGAAAAACGAATCAAACATCCACAACAGGACGATAGTGATAAAGCGGCGGCAAGCGTTCTCAAACGCACGAGTTACTGGTTGCCCGATATGCAACCCGACAAGGTGGATGCCCGACATAAAGCACCGGAACGACCCACGTCACCGTATTCGGGAGAACCATTGCGTCGAAAAGATTTGCGAGAATTGGCGTTGGAGCGAAAACCCAACACGGAAGATGTGATTTGTGCCATTTCTGGAAAAGCCATTCGGATGCAACCGACGATGGCCTACTGGACCAAGGACAAGACCAAACCGGGAGTCGTCGTTCTCAAGGATGTGTACCACATGACAATTGACACGGAGGGGAGCAAGAAGAAAAAAGCAAAAGGGGACGACGAAAAAGATGACAAGCCAAAATTGCAGTGTCCACTGACCAATCAGAAAATTAAACATGTTATTGAATTGAAAGTGGGGGGAAGCGGATTTGCGGCGCACAATGCCGTGGAAGTCAAGACGTACAAACCAACTATTACGTAAACTGTAATAATAGAATGGTATAGATTTATTTATCATATTTGAGCTTTATGTAGATTGCTGTGATGGTTGCGCCGAAAAAGTAGGTCCGGGAGAGACGATCGGAAAAAATTGCAAAACATGTTTAACATGTTCCACTCAAGCCCATTCAACTACAATAATTCTAGCTACCATAGCTTGCGGGTTCCAGCCTTTCTACTATCATCTGTATCATACCGTACCGGTACGTGTACTGATGTGGAAGGACTTTCTTGTGTTGACTTGCTTGTGTTGAGCACTCCGCCGGGTTCGTGGTGAGACCGTGGGGAGTGGATGCAGCACAGCGTGGATGACGCGTGGAATGACATCAGCTTGCCAAGCTGGCAACAGCCAATCCAATCCAAAAAGAAGTGCCATCTTGTTCCGGAGGGAGAAACAACGAAACAAGCAGCCGCCCAAAGAACCATTGCCTTCAACCCACCCTCACCCATCACTTTTTTGGGTGGATCGATCATTCTGCCAGCTGTAGATATTAGGTAGATAGATCTAGAGCTCCAAGATAGAAGCGGTCCACAAAGGAGGCAGGAGCAAACATAAGAAAAGGAGGTTTTAATAATTTTAACATACAAGGAACCATGACACCATTTTGGGCTTTGGTCGGCCTTTTGGCATCGGGTAGTTTAATCCCCAACGGCAGCGCCCTTTCCTTCCACCCCACAACCTCGGCACGAAGAGCCCTGGAAATGGCCCCTTCTTCAGCAAAATTGCAGCTTTCATCATCATATCCACAACAACGACGACAATCGGCTCTTTCCATGCACATGGGCCATAGCCATTCCCATCATCATCATCAAGACGATCATGCAGCACAACAACAAAAACCACAACCACCCCCCAAAACTCTGGGAGGCAAGGCACTGCGGTTGTCTCGGAGTCCCGTGGTGCGACTGGCATTTGCGGCTCTGGTGGTCTTTGTACCAACTCTCGTAAGGCGTCGCCACTTGGCCATGAGTCAATGGATCCAACGAGGCGATGTGGCGGCCTTTTTCTTGATTAGTGCTGCCTTGACATTTGCCAATGGTGCCAAGAATGAAGTGAAACGCATTTTGGATCGAGTCTCCGATTGGAAAGATGGCATTGCCAAACATGCTCCCAAAGCACGGAAACAGTCACTGATGGAACGACTCTTTTCCAAAAGTCGCGAACAATCGGCCGATCGAGTCACTCTCTTTGGTGTACTCATCAATTTGGTGCTGAGTGTGGGAAAATTGGTCGTCGGTGTGACCTGTCATTCTTCGGCACTGGTGGCGGATGCCGGTCATTCGCTCAGTGATCTCTTTAGTGATTTTATTACGCTTTGGGCCGTCCAAATTGCACGATTGCCACCCGATGAAGATCATCCGTACGGGCATGGAAAGTTTGAAGCCGTGGGAGCACTCTTTCTCGCATTGACATTGTTGGGCACGGGCCTTTCGGTAGGAGCCGTGTCCTATCAGTCCATGCTGGAAATCATGAAACTACAACGGACGGGAGGTGCGGCAGCCCTGGCCGCATCGGTGCAAGTACCCACATTTCCCGCTCTTCTCATGGCGTTTCTCTCGATTGTCAGCAAGGAATGGCTCTTCAGGGTGACACGCAATGTGGGAGAAGATTTGAATTCCCAAGTGGTCTTGGCCAATGCATGGCATCATCGCAGTGATGCCTACTCGTCCATTCTGGCACTGGTGAGTATCGCCTTGGCCATGCTGGTACCAGGGCTGTTGGCCGCCGATTCGGCCGCAGGATTGTTGGTGGGTGGTATGATTTGCATGACGGGAGCCGAAATTATGGGCGAGGCTGTCAAACAACTGACCGATGCCAGTGCGGATGATTCCTTGGTGGCCAATGTCAAGCAACTGGCATTGCAAGAATCGGACGATGTCCTGGAAGTAACCCGCATCCGGACACGACAAATGGGCTCCAAAGCGTTTGTGGATGTCTCCATCAAAACTCCGGAATCATTAAGCAACAGTGCCACACGGGCGGTGGAGGAACGCGTCAAGTATACGATTCTGAAAAATGAAAAGAATGTGGTGGATGCCGATGTCAATGCCAAGAGCAGCAGTGCGGGTGTTGCTTGGAAGACAGAAGAGGAACACTCGCATTCGCATGCGGATCATGGAACCGAGTCAAATAATTCGGAAGTGGCAGAGTTTTCGACTAGTAGTACTCTAAAGGAGGAGGATGACAACGACAACAACATGAGCAATGGCGAAGAAATGAGTAAACCATTGGAGGATTCTTCCGCCGATCCAACGACAACCTTGGCAGATGAAATGGTTGGGTCTTTTGCGCCAACAGCGCCGACGGTGGCCATTAGCAGCTTTCAGCAAATTGAAGATGATGCACGCCATTTGTTAAACAATCATGCTTCTATCAAGTCGATTGAAGGATGCACAGGTAAGTGGTGGAAATAATTGTATCTCACGACCATTGTGATGGCAGCATGACGCTCACATAGTATTGTTTCTTTGCAGTGCACTACAACGAAGCATTACAAGAAGTTCAGGTGGATGTGACCATCAAAGTTGAAAATCCTGACTGGACCACTGTTACCATTGCACAGTCGCTGGCACGAGAGCTGAAGGGTATCCTGGAAGAAGGATCAACCAACATACACAAAGCCAACCTCTTTCTGGACCTGAATAGCGCTGATCAAAAGGACTCGGAGGAGAAACCGTCACTGATCTATTATCTCAGTGAGGCAATCAATGACTCTACAGAGCCGGTTACGAACTGAAGAGGAGGGACTGTGAGCATCGCGTGGCAAGCATGAAAGCAACACCGTGACAGAGTGGCAAACAAGAATGACAAATCAGCCGCAAGTCATGGGTCGAGCCGAACGCTACGGTTGGAATCGAATCCTGTCCAAAAGCAACAAAGGCGCTTACATTCAATGCAGCTGTACAATTGTTGGACATTTGTCGTCGCGCATCGCCTTGCATGGAAATAACGCACATACATCAGTTACACCCACAACACAAAAGAGACAACCCTTAGCTACACCGCATAATTTGACACAATTTAGTCCATGGTTTGTTCCCTAGAAACCGAAGCAATCTGATGTTGGAAACAGCATCGAAATAGTAGGATGGCTACTCTGGATTCTTGTGGGCGCCATGCTTCAGTCGAAAAAGATACGTCGGATCTTTTGTAACAGCCACCTCTTTTCCACGACCATTTGAAGATCGCAGCACCGACCATTTCGGCAATCGCTCCCCACCTCTTTGCTCCAACGGGCTGCACATCCACAACAACGGCAAGTGCACCAAGGTCTCTCTTCGGATTTGTCTTGTTGCGGTCCGCTGAAGCTTGCATCGAACATCACGAGGATGAGAAGCCGCCAGGGCACGCACCCCGAATCCGAACGGAGAGATGGAGCCACCGCTGGAATTTCAACTTCTATCACGTCTGGCCGTCGCTTCCGGAAATGACACTGTAAATACGGTATTGTCACGACAGATCAAGTGTGAGACGTTTTAAACAGTCAAAAATTCGAAGAGCCAACCAGGCTGGGACAAAACGTGAATGCTGTCGAAGTCGACACCAACAATGACCCCAACACGAACGCATCTAACGAGGACGAAGGAGCCTTCTGCCTCCGACCCTGGACGATTATTCGCTCGTTTTGTTCATAAAATCACCAAAACTAGCTACCGGTAGCCTCAAACAATCATATCTTCACAGTATTCAGCTAATGCCAAGCACATTGATCATGGCTTCCCCCAGCACAGGTGGATCTTCGCTGGACGTTCCATTGGTCAATGATTTCGAGGATTCCAATGGAGACGACAACGACACGAGTGGCTCGGCAACGAAAAAGGCAGCCTTCTTGCTACTTGTCGTCGTGGGCCTGGCGGCTCTGATGCTGAACGGATGTCCCCACTCCAAGAATCAGTCAACCTTCGATGCAAGTTTCGCTGAGGTTCATACTCTTGAAGATGGCGGCCCCAAAACCTATGGTATGGACGTATCATGGCCAATTCATGGCTCCATCAGCGAGCGAAATGACTTTCGACGACCGGAGGATAGGTTTGCCAAGAACAGCCGTCATGACACTTACATCAAGCACCTTCAAGGTTGTCGAGCACACTATGGAAAGTTTAGCAAGGCTGCTGCACGAACCTGCGACACGTACGAGTTTGATCGATTGCTCATGAACAAACGACAACCTCAGTCCATGGAGGTGAGTGTGTTCCATTCCTGGTTCAATTGCAATCGTGAAGGATCCTCGAAGATATCACGTCTAATCCTGCTCTGCTTTCTATCCGTTTGTAGAACTACACTGACGTTGGCTTCAAAAAGATTCGAGCGCCGCCTCGGGTTGCTAAAATCATTCAAGACTTCTGGGAACAGAACAAAGACAAACAGGTGCCCGAGGTATGGCCCGAAGGTAACATTTACTTGAATCACTGGGAATCTCCTTCCATGATGGTCTCGGTCGACGATACTGGGTTGCGAGGAAGCGGCTACCATCTCAAACGAAATATCTGGGATTCAGCTCAATCAACAATCTCACAATGGGCAGGAGGCCAAGACGTTACTCCAGTGTCCATGTACGGCATCCGTGTGTATACCAACGGTTCCCTATTGGTCCCACATGTAGATCGTTTACCATTGGTGGCCTCTGCGATGATCAATGTTGCTCAAGAGGTCGAAGAGGACTGGCCCATGGAAGTGTATTCCCACAAGACGGGAATGGCGCACAATGTCACGCTGCATCCCGGAGATATGTTGCTCTTTGAAAGTCATTCGGTTGTTCATGGAAGACCGTTCCCATTGAAGGGCAAGTTCTATGCTATGATCTTCATCCACTTCGAGCCCACAGGGCGTACTGCTTTGAAGCAAAGGGTTGGCGTTGACGAACAGTATCGTCAGGCGGTTCAGGATGGCGTTGGCGGTCAATCTTCTTCGGAACAAAGCAGTTTGCTCCCACCTTACATCCGTCGATTCAGCCCCGAAGAAGAGCACTGGCAACGCGAGAACCCTGGGGGTTGGCGATCCCCCGCAATGAGCCCAGCTTCCTTTGAGCTACAACCAGATGATAATGGAAACTCAGCTGCCGAAGAGCAACAACCAAAGCAACCGGAAGAACATCAAGCGGCACGTGATGGGGACATTGCCTATTGGGAGGCAGCACTCGACAAAGCAGCCAACCAGTACAAGCTGGTCAACCGCCGAGATGCGTATGGCTGGCAGCCAATTCACGAGAGCGCTACGAATGGCCGAGAAGATCTTGTCGACCTGCTGCTTCGCCATGGAGCTAACATCAACGCCCGCACTCACGGTGGACGCGGAGGCACGCCACTCTTCTTGGCACAACACAAGCTGGGCAGTCATCATCCAATAGTGAGCTTCCTTGTGGATAGAGGCGCCTTGAGTATCCCGCCAGATTCCTTTCGAGAGGAGCTATAGCGCTGTTACTGACGTTTTTACACTGGTCGTCTCGATTTCTCATGGGGTACCGGTGCTCGGGGTGCGGTAGTCTCCTTGCTTGCAATCTCAGAGACGCGCTTGTTCATCGCGAGGTTACATTCTATTGCATACATGACACATACATGGCACTGTAAATCTTAGACACCTTCTACACTGAGATCCAACGGAGCTGGTACCATAGGCGCTGGTAGTAGCTCTCAAACAACTTTGCTTGTCAGCTGCTGTCAACTTTCTACAAGCAAACATATGTACGGTAGCCAAGCAACGTCGACAACAGTCTAGTCATCTCTTTTATTCTCGATGCCACTCCTCAAGGCTCAAGATCACGTCCAGCCACACACGGTATGTATCTATACACGTATACATTAGACACGGACCAAATGAGAGAACATGATCGCGTACCTGTAGCTGAGTGAGTGAAAGTTGGCTGCTGGGTTTCTCCTTCCATCACTGGCGTAACCAGCAGATAGCTAGAACTTGAACCAACTAGAGGCTTCTTTAAGGTGTCCTGAAAGGCTTCTTGTAGGTGTCCTGCCTTGTAGACAGAAGCAGCAACCTTTTGTGGCACAAAACACTGTGCTTTGCAGGATAAATCTTTGAGAGTCAAATGAGGAGGGCTCTCCAAACTCACCATACATCATCATGGTTGCAGCAATTGCAAGAAGTCGGCCTTGCTATTCATGCAACCATTAACACCATGGCTCTACCAGAAATGCAGATTGAACGAATTGATGGAGCTGATATGCAAGCTTAGCCTGGCTCCAGCCGGCTTCCGTAGATAATTTACCTACTCTAAACGTCTCTTTTGGTGTGCTAGCTATAGTGCTAGTTGGCACAGTACTAGTTGGCACAGTAATATTCATATGCCCCCTGGGTCGTCTCCGTTTCCAGTACTAGTTTAACTTGTCTACTAATACAGGATAATGGTGAATAGAATCGAATGAATCATGTGGCCTATATTTAGGGTTTAGGTTTTGTAATTTTGAAGTCAACGTGTGTTAAGTGGAGGGTTGGCTCGCTTCCGCTGGGAGCTTGGTGTCTTCTTTTTCCTCTGTTTCCCGCTCTTCGTCGGAACTGGGGTATTCGGTAATAGGATCGTTGAGCAAGGTTCGGCAGCTTTCTTCATACCTTGTGGAGTGTCATCATTCTAACTATTCGCAGGTGATACATTGGCCGACGTGGTTCGTCGAACAGGTGGAACGGGAGATTACGTATTTGGTTGCATTGAAACTGGGAATGGTTTGCGAATAACATCGGGAGGTCCAGT